GAGCTTAGGGGGTGGATCTTCAAGGGAACCAGCACCGTGTTACCACTGACACACCGAACACACCGTCAGAGTCGATCAGTTGTCCGTTTGCAAACGGAGGCTAGCCAGCGGGAGCGGAGAGTCACAAAAAACGCCGACATACGACACCGCCGGTAGTCCGGAGAGGGCGACACACATCACATCATTTGGTGTCGGGATGTTATGACATCCACACTACACAGTTACACAGATGCCTGGCAACTAACAGCATTGCCGACAATGCCAGCAATGGGTAGAAGGGGCATGGCGATCTTTTTGTCGCAAACAGAATGAGTAACAATATTCGAGTCATGACATTACATGGATACTCATACCTAAATCGGCAAAATGGTGAGCGATCACCAGCCTTCAGGCTTTGTTCGGTGGTTGCACAGCTCGACACAATTTTGGGGGAAAGTACCTCGATCGCTGACTTTGATCGCACACTGCGATTTCCGGCGGTCACGACAAAACAAGACAATGCGGGCTCCTTTTTTCAAACCACTGTCAATAGAGACAGGGCCGACAGTGGAAGCCAACAACAGCGCTGGAGCGTCGGTGGAGCGGAAACGTTGTTGGTTCGGATCGAGCAAAACATTGCCCGGCGGGAGAGCAGTCGAAGAAGTTTTGTGGGCTTCACAATGATTGGCCTCAAAAGAATCTTAATGCCTGCTAGATAGAGATAAGCCAGAACGTAACCATGAGCTATTAAGACATTCTGAAATAATTACGAAGTCGCGTGGCTTTGTCAAAATATTTTCAGTGAGACGTGGTCTGTCCACCCAAACGACTTCGTGACTTCGCAATAGCGAACACTTTTCATTATTTCGTGGATGATGCAAATAGCTGCCCAATAATTACATTTGAATACCCACTGTGCTAATGAAGACCTATAAGCTGCAAAGCTGAAGGCGTGGCTTAAATTTAGTCCCTCGGCACCTCACAGAGCACGGTTTAACAGCCTCATTCGGACGTGCCCATGGCCGGCAGCCGCCTTCCAGACAGCTCCTGCATTCGGGCCGCGCGTTTGGCACAGTGGCCGTTCTTAGAACCGTCATTGGCTCACTGTTTACGGTGCAGGCGCCGTGAGGTAGCACGTCTCTGGCGGTGACTAACCAGCAGAGCCGGGCCGACACCGGCCGCCGGCGCCGGGCTATCAATGGAGAGCAAACTCAGCCGGCTCCCGGGGGAGGGACTGGTTGGCTGTGTCATCAGCCCACTACCAGCGGCACACAGCGCACCATGCACGGTAGGGTTGTTAAAAAAAACCGAATTTTGGAAAAGTATATGGGCTCATGGCTCATGTGGTGCGGTATTCTTTTTTGAGACCAATGATGCCCTTTTTACTGAAAAGTATTAACTGTTAGGGGCTCCTCAAACGGCTTAAAGAGGACCATGTTACGCCCGCCGACCGACCGGTGTCAATAAAGGCGAGAGTTCGACGCCGCACGGCGGCGGCAGCGCCTTATCGGCACCGCGCGCCACGACATCTGCCGGGCGGCCGGCTGGGCGGTGGGAAGTTATAAGTGCGTGGTCTTATTGCACACGATCGGGGTGAGCTATCCCATGTTTTCGGGGCGGAAAGTTCAGTGCAGCATCGGTGCGTCTGCCACGGTGGTCTGTGTCGATGGTATAGAAAATAACTCAAGCAGAGCTCAGAAAAGAATGAATGATTCCGGGTAGTTGCCTCGAAACAATCCGTTTCAAGAATACAGCTGCCTTCTTAACGTACCGTATCACTTGTTAATTCTTCAAAAAGCAAACTCTGAGCAATAACACACCTCTTTGCGTTGCTGTTGACAATTAACGTTAGTTTTTGACGGTGGCTCGCACCCCCAATATGCTGCCGCGCAACTTTATTCCAACGGCGAAACGGCAACTTCGCGAGAATCGAAAATTCACGATGTACGTACAGCAGGGGCTGGCAATGCAGTATGCACAAGGACAGAATATGGAGGAGACCCGACAGTCATCGGCCCAAGTTTGGGGGTGGCTTTGACGAGCATATGCGTCACCAATGTCATTATTCAGATACGTTGATGTCAGATGCTGGGGCAACAGAATCGACGCCAGGTGTAACTTAGATTAGCGGGTCGAAAGAAAACATAACATGTCTGGGAATGACAGAGTGGCCACCCTGACAGTGTGACGAAGTGAGACATGAGTAGAGACATTAGCCGGAGTACCTACTCATATAAATCAAGCGCCGTTTATCCAATCCTTCGAGCATAAGCGACGCCGGCAGTCCGGCCAGGGCGGCCGTGCCCAACGATGCCGATCAAGACCCGAATCCAGACCCGGCATAGAACACAGCTCTGCCCTGACGTGACACATTACCCCGGTGTGTCACTCATGACGGATAGACCAATGCAGGAGCCTTGCCAGCTCCTGTTGTACCTACTTCGTTAAATTTTCGATTCTCGCTAAGTTGCCGTTTCGTCGTTGGAATAGAGTTACGCGGCAGCATATTGGGGCTGCGAGCCACCGTCCAAAAGCAACTTAAATTGTCAACAGCAATGCAAAGAAGTCTGTTATTGCTCAGAGCTTGCTTTTTGAGGAATTAACAAGTGATACAGTACGTTAAGAAGGCAGCTGTATTCTTGAAACGGATTATTTCGAGGCAACTACCCGGAATCATTCATTCTTTTCTGAGCTCTGCTTGAGTTATTTTCTATACCATCGACACAGACCACCGTGGCAGACGCACCGATGCTGCACTGAAACTTTCCGCCCCGAAAACATGGAATAGCTCACCCCGATCGTGTGCAATAAGACCACGCACTTATAACTTCCCACCGCCCAGCCGGCCGCCCGGCAGATGTCGTGGCGCGCGGTGCCAATAAGGCGCTGCCGCCGCCGTGCGGCGTCGAATTCTCGCCCTTATTGACACCGGCCGGTCGGCGGGCGTAACATGGTCCTCTTTAAGCCGTTTGAGCAGCGCCTAGCAGTAATACTTTTCGGAAAAAAGGGTATCATTGGACTCAGAAAAGAATACCGCACCACATGAGCCATGAGCCCATATACTTTTCCAAAATTCGTTTTTTTTTAACAACCCTAATGCACGGCTCGCGGCCCGGCTAATTCGGCAACCACGCGCCGGCGCTGCGTGACACCGCTCCGTTAGCCGAAGGGCGCAGCCGAGGGTAATGCAAAGGAGCACGGCCCGCTGCTGCAATACCCACATCGTCCACGGCGCTGCTTTACATTTTGTTTCGATCGTTGTTTATTTTTGGCATTAACTGACGTAGACGGGTCGACAAATCATATTTACCAGTACAGGAACCTCGTTGGTAAGCCGATGACGATAGATGAGGTGAATAGGGGTCCACTTATTTGGGTGTCCCTACAGACATAAGTAAAATAAACAGACAGCATACACCGCTTAACGGGCACGGTTCGGATGCCTCTCTTTTTCGGCACAAAAATAAATCATGCAGTAGCGATGAACAAGACAGAATCCACCGTAAAAAGCACGACGATCTCTAGGAAAAGGAATGATAGACAAGCCATCTGGGAAAAAGAATGATAGATAAAGTTAAAAACAACGAGGAGAACCGTAATTCCCAACCAAATTTCCATTCGGCTTGTCGCGACTTATCTTCTGTGCAAGGTGCATCATAGACAAATGCAGTTCTGGCGACTCCAGTTGAACTACTGGTTATTGCAAGGCTTTGACCCGTGTCGGTTTTTCATTACCATACGATTGCATAGGGTTGTCAAACGGACCAACAAAATCGTCGCCACAGGTAGGTAACACTAAAAAAATGGACAATCGACCTTATGGTCACCACCTCAACTTTGCGTTGAGCAGCATAGTAGCTTTGCATACGCCGCAACTAACAGCAGGCACTGCGGCTACCCAGACAGGTGACAGGTTTGGACCGGGAGGGAGCGGCTCCACGACAGGTCGCACCGCCGCGCCGCTGCAGCAGCTTCCTAACGGGGAAATAACGGCAATGTCAAATCAGACGATCCAATAGCCATCCTCGTGGCGTCCCAAACGGTAGTGCTACCAGTTCGACTCGATGTAGCTGTATCCACGGTGACAATATCGCTGCCATATGCGGTCATATCTGGGATCACTGGAGCCCCCGACATGGTCTTGCTCTCGGCTGGCAATGTCTGGCCAATGTCCGTGGCCCGGTGACGCTAGCCATCGCTAGTTGAGAGGTGCCGCGCCTTCCAGAGAGTGAGCCGCAGTGGGCGGACGGGCGGACACCGTCTCGCGGCCGCCGCAGAGGACACAAGTCACTCTGACGTCACATCGGCGGCAGGGCGGAGCTGCGGTCAACAATGACAACAACAGGTCCGGGGGCCGCCCGCCAGCCGCCGCCCGCGCGCGGCGCGCCCGCACAAAAACGGCCACCGGTATACGCTTTTCCCGGACCTCAGCTGGACCCTTACCTCGGTCTCAACGGCCCACTGCTACCGGCGAGGGGTAAACTTTAATCTCGGAAATGGACCACGGATACCAGGGGGATTTGAATCTCAGGAGTGAGCCGCAAGACGCCTGAATCTTGGGAATATGCCACAAGTAACCAGGCGCGTTTTAATTTCCGGAGTAGACCGCATATTGCGATCATATAACCAGTAGAGGCTGCACCTCGGAAATGAGTCTCAACGATAACAGCTGCGCGTCAATCTCGAATAAACTAGGAACGCGTGCGTTTTAGGATAATAGCCAGGACATCTACCAGCTACATGTGCGATAAGTCAATGTTAGGCAAGGTGCCACTACATCAGAATTCAATTGCTGCTGTCTTCTCCAGGGAGGTGACAGGGGTGTACTTGCAACTCAAAGCCAGGTCGATCCGGTGTGCATACCGGGTACGATGCCCACCGTGGTTGAAAGGCCGGAAGGACGCAATGCCATTGGTGAAGTCTTAACTCTTACTGCGTCCGGTGGGCAGGCACTCGGTTCTTTACACTGTCACTATGACGAAAGACAGCTCACACCCAACAGCAGTCAGTCAGTTACTCACCTAGTTCCCTGGCGTTTACTGTTGCTTGTATCCGCCATCTCAGCCTGCAAAAGGGACACACGAAGGTCATAAGACAATACTGATCAGAGTACAAACATCTAAAAGCATTATAACACATTCACCACTTCGCAACATCACCCGACACCGCATATAACCCAACCCTGACGTGCCCCGAGCATAGCAACTACGTCCATTACAACGTTCCAGTCGTAAATACAGCCCGCCCGTGTCAGAGCACGCCCCCTGTGTAAGGTGGCGGCATTCACCGGGTCAGGTATCTCATCCTCCTGGGTGACCGTGGGCTGTAGTTGGGGGCGGTGGGGAGCCGCTGTCCCCGCCCGCCGCCGTGAAAACGAGCGCCACACCTTAGCTGCGCTTCTGGAACGGCTAAGTTCCTTTGGCCGTCGGGCGTTACTGCACTATGCACCGTCCGTCCAGGAACGGACGGTGAACGGAAATCCGCTTCACAACACAACAGTACATCCGTTCAACAAAAGAAAACTAAGTAATGCTCTTTCAGTCTTTCCTGTGTCCTGCCACGGCGATTCACTGTAGCGGCGGCCTGACTCCCCACGGACAACTACCACCGGGACTTCACTCAATTCGCCAAACCTCTGCTGCACCTCAGCAGGCTTCACTTAACCACTAGTCTGCACTACCACTGCTAGAGGAGCTGCTTCGCTCACTCCACCAAACTTCCACACAGCATCGCTAGCACGTCCTGCAAATAATACTGGTTGCTGCACAGACCACAGCACGATACACAGGCAGCTGTCCGCGCGTGGCGCATTGGCAGACCGGTACTGCGACACTGGCGGATGAGGCGCCCTGGCACGGGAGCGCCCCCGAGAGCGTGCTGCTGTCTAAGGAAGAACTACCAGCCGGTAGGCCAGATGACACGACACGGAGACACGCCAGCCACTGGACCTGCGCGAGCCGCACAGCCCCGGCAATAATTACCGCACATCGGAGCACGCGACAGAAGACAGCACAAGTGAGGCTTCAGAATGACTGAGTCCAGTTTCCGGTAAGGAAATAAGACGAAAATAATTATTTAAGATCAGACAGGAATGCAAAATATTACGGTATCAAATAATTCGCGAATATCTGAAATGTTACCCAGCTGTTGTTTTCAAAGAAGGCGACGACCGACGAAGTGAAATACCAGTACGGGCTTAAATAAAAGAGCCCAACCGCAAATGTGATGACTTGCTGACAATGAGACCGGAATGCCTGTTAATCCGGATTATGGATGGCGTCGCATGCAATAACTCGTGTAGGACCACCAGTACTATACCTACTGGGATTAGCTAGAAGCTGCTGAGAAACAACTCAGCAGTAACGCCTAAAGCTTCATCAGTAAACCTTGACACCGATCGGGCCTCTCTCTCCCACCCCCGCCGCCAGTCTGTCCCCGCGGTCACCGTTCACAGTCCAGTCCACCGGGAGCCAAACCGCGGCTCCGACGGTGTGACACCAGCGCACGCGACCGATGGAACGTCGCGTGCCGACCGACAGTTGTCACACCCTTCTGGCTTTATCTGCCATCGCCGTGGGCCGCTGCCAGGTAAGCCGCAGAGGTGCGCCCGGCTCGTGGTGGGGCCGCGCGGTGCAGACTGCCGGGACAGCTTTCCGAGGGTGATTTTGAGACTTGGTGGTCTTTTTTATCACATCCCAATTCCCATTGATTTCTTCTTTTCTTAGGTAGTTGTCTGAGCTGGACAGTGGACAGCAACTTGAACTGGTAGCCGAGATAGAAGTGGAATAACTTCTGGAGTGCACCCCCTCCCCCCCTCCCCCAGGCCAGACATGACAGCTAGTGCGACACAGTGGCCTTGAGGTTCATCCTTCAGAACAACTGGGCACTAGGGTGTCTCGAAAGTGGGGTCAAAAAAATTAATTCACTTCCTATAGCAAAAACCACTTGCATCTAGCCTTATTATGACATGAAATGATGATTAAAAAATTCTCATTTAATGTTAAGAACCAGCGCACCTCGTCTATCGTAACCCTTTCCTGACAATTTCAGGCGTTGCAGTCTCCATAGACTTTCTTCGGTGTTATTTTCACGTAAACCGTATAAATGCGTTCTCGCTTCAGCTTGCGATCTTTCAACGAATCAATACATTTGTTGCATAAACATTTACTAAAACACTTTCCTAGCGCAACATATCCAAAAATTGCTACCTGAGTGATACTCATCCTGCTGACAGTAGGTTATGCTAAAAGCTAATATCCATGTCGCTGACTAGGTAAAATGCAGTAAAAATGCCAACACACATGATATACGGCGTTTTCTACGTTTCTGTCTTGCTCTTGAGCGCACTCAATTCCATTTTTTTTTTTTTTTTGTCCGGATAAGTGGGAGGTCGAGCCTTGACTTCGCACGGCTGACATTGATATCGGCCGTCATGGCCGACACGCTTCTGCGACACTATGACCCCGTTTCCATGGGCATCACTGATCCGGATCAGTGCCTCGTAAGGGATTAGGCTGCCCATGGAAACACCCGTAATCCCTTACCGCTGATCCGGATTCTAATCCAGCTTCGAAAGAAGCTGAGCCGTTACGATAGGGATTAATGTTTGACTTTTTAATTTTCTTATTTTCATGTTAATTGTTTTAATGGGCCTGGATGCATATATCGCATTAGAAATATTTTATTTAAATTACACTATTACTAAAATGATATGTTTCAAAATTTGGGCTATATTATTTAAGATTTAAACCATTGGAGATATTTGTTTGTGCATTCCTCCTGCACGGTGTCAAGCATTCCGTTGCGCAACAGCATCCACTCATCAGTTATCTTGCTAAGGTCTATTGTGCCAATATTCTTAATCTATTTGTTGCTGTTAGATGGCAAATCAATTTTGCAATCTTTTCCAGCATTTTTTCATTACCCGTGTAATCCCTTACAGCACAAATGTAGACTTTCTCGATGTTGCATCATTTGCCTGTCAACTATTTTCATATATAAGTTTAGGACGACGGCGGCATAGTGCCGCGGTGGCGCAGTGGTATGATTTTCGCTTTTTGAGCCAAAGGTCTCGGGTTCGAAACTCGGGGTCGCCCGAAACGTTTTCTGAAATAATGAAAGACAGACGAATTGCTATGTAAATTTGTTTGTTTATTTTTATTTTTTAACATGAATCGAACTGAAAAATTAGTTATTGTAGAGAGTTTGGAAGATTTTCCCAATAGCCGAGTTTGCTATCGGTATGATAAAAGAAAGCCAATCTTCAGGACGGAAGATCCTAGTCGATTTTTGCACAAGACCAGGCAAAAATGTTAGCTGGAGTTTTTATTAATTGCCAAAGTGCGCCATACTCGTCCCTCCTAAGCCGATCAGTAGCGGCTGAGCTCTTATTTCACTGATCCGGATCAGTACCGGCATGGATGAGAGATTACTGGATGCGCAACTCCGCCGCTTTGAGCGACACATGTGCGTTCTGCGCATGCGCAGGTTCTAGCCACGACGGCGCGGCCAGTCGGCGTTCTGAGCCTATGGAGGTTGGTGGTGCGGCGAAAGAGTTTTAGTTTTTTTTTTGTGAGCATTTCATTGAGTTCGTCGAAGAATCGGATATTTTCTGAGGTAAGAACACCGGGGCATGCCGGTGAACATATCGGTTCCTTCGTGAAAGTGCTTGAATCGGTGATATTCAAGGGTTTGTAATGGCGTCTTGTTAAGGCTCGTGCGTCGGCTTTCACAGACATCCCATTTTCTTATTAAATTATATCAGATAAATCTGGATAGTTGAGTGATTCGGAATTTCGAAGCATTCAAAATTGAAATAGGCTCATGAAATAAAAGCTGGCTTGCTTCACTTTTAAGTTATTGTAACTCAAAGTATACAGACAAAAATGGCGCATGATCACATTCTATTTCCAGTAGGGTGAGGTTCCTAATTCTTATATTTTCATATTTAATGGAGTTTGAATTTAGCTTGAGTTAGCTTAAATTTATTATTTGTTCATATATGGGGCTTTGAAAACATGTTGTTTAGCATAACTTTTGATATTTTTCCCCCATACATGCATCATTGCATGATTAAATGGAGAAAGCCAGGCATTAAAATGGCATGTGCATTATACTACACTTTTGAAACATACAAGAAGTCAATGTTGATTGGTTCCCCAGACGTGTAGGAAAATATGTTTTCCTGCACCTCTAGACGTTTTCCTGCACCGCTCAACATTGACATTTTCCTACACCTCTTGAATCTATGACGTCATGAATGATTTCACATCATGAAGTTGAAGAGCATCACTTGGCTTCTTATGAATTAATTTTATCAATCATCCACATCCCGATATGAAACTTTGACGCTGTTTTGCAACAAAGCATGTCAGGCTGTTGTGCTTGTATTGGTTGTGTGGGCGCAATATGACCTTAGTTGTTGACGCGCCCTAAAACCCCAACAAACAAACAAACAAAATTGTCTTTGTTGTATTCGTGAAAGCACAAGTATGTAGGTACCTACAGGACATCAGACAAGTACAAGACATGATTCAGCGAGAGATATTGGTGATCCCCTATAAGGGCGGTTGCCTTTCCCTGCGGCCTTGACTTGACTTTGCTTCTTTTCTTGACTTTGGTCAACTTTGCCTCTCTTAATGGTTTAAAAACCGGATCACTGTCCACTTGAAGTCAATTCTTTCCATGCAATAATTATTGCTCAGCAAAAATAAAATTTCACTAGAAATGTGATGATATTTGAGTGGATTGTTTGCGACTTACCTATGGGAATATCTTACAAGGGTTACAAATGTTACAAATATTATATTATATCTTACTTCCACAAGTGTTGTGTTGCTGTGAAATCTTCTCCTAATTCTTGTTTTTAAAACAAGTGTTTAGGTATCTATGCCATGTTTCATCCTAATTTCTTTGCTATTTTTGTTTCAGATCTTGATCAAGATGGGGAGGGATCATGATGGAAGCTCATGGTGTGGTGCCATCAATTGCAGCACTTACAAAAAACGCAATCCTGAGCTGAAGTTCCACAGGTTTCCTAAAGATGCTGAAAGGTAAAAAAGCTGT